GGTGGGAGGTGGATGACTGGCAAAGGGAAGCATTGTAAATATTAATGCGGCCAAGGAACGGCAAAGGAAAATATTTGAATAATAATTACCGCGCTCGCACCCTCTCGTCAACCCTTGTTACGTCCTTGGTATAATAAAAAGGTTCTCGTTCCCCATTTTTATTTTTTACTCTCCATCTTTCGTCTCTTACTTATCTTTTTCCATTCTTTTCTTACTCGGCAGTCTTATCCCAGCAGTGGAGAAGAGAAAGGGATAAGAATACTGGGGAAAAAGGGTCGCACGCGGAATTTTCTAATTAGAAAGATCTTTGGGAAACCTCGGCAAACAATGAGACTTTGCCACTTCCTAGCTTGCTTCCGTCAGGGAGAAAAAAAGGGAAAATAAGACGATGGGGGGGGGGGGGACTCTTGGATTTTAATATTCGTACTCTTGCGACGTTTTTACTCTCGTTCTTTTTATTAACGAATGACTACAATCTTACGAATTCTATTATCTCGCTGGCTTTAATTGGAGAAAAATAATTCCAAGTTTTCTTACAAAAGTCGTTAAAAGTACGGACGGTAGTACAAAAAGGGAACTGAACTAATTTCCTCCGCAGCGAATGAAAAATTCATCGAGGAGAAGAACATTTGTAAAAAGTTGACATGTAAAATTGTCAGAATGAAATTGGTAACTAAAAAATTTTCAAATAAAATTTGCCAAGAGGTTCTTTCTAACTCTTGAATCACAAAAGGCAGTTTAGAGCCCAGAGGTTGCCGTACGAGAGAAGACTGAATCTTCGACTTTTTCCTCAAGGAAAATTTGATTTCTATTGCGTCTGATCTGCGTAACAAGCTGCAGAGGCACTCTTTTTTTTCGGCTCTACAGTGCCATCCGAGATCTTTCAAATGTAACTCCCCCACATATGTAAGGCATTTACCTATTCCCAGAGCGAATGAAAAGAGAAAGAGAGGCGCAAATCTAGGCAAAAAGCTAAAACCCCATCCCCCCCGCTCCGATGTTCTCTCGAATCAAGGCACCCTCTCTCGGCCGCCTAACGATGTGCCAACAAAAATACAGACGGAGGATAAAGAGCGGTTCCAAGGAGCGTAAGCAGATTGCGGAGAAACGACGAGGGGGTGGAGGCGCTCACCTAAGTCAAGAGAAAAAAGAAAGGAAGGGAAAAAGCTTGGTGAAGGGAAAAAAAGCAAGCCGAACGTAAGAAAAGAAAGCACAGGAATCATCCATCGTCTCCGGAGTATTTCTTTTTACCCCCCGAAGGGGTTTCACCCCTTAATTATCCGGCTGACAATTATTTTTAACGACTCCCAGCAATATCTTAACGAGCCTCGATCTGCCAACGTGGCATCTGGTGAGAGTGCAAGGGTCAGAAGGGTGTCTTTTCTTCATTTCCTACGGGTATTTTTCCTTTTTTCATTACAATCCGGAGTTTAAAATCACGCCGGGTAAGAAAAAAAAATTATGATCGGGCCATTTTTCTGCGCAATTTTCAATATCAATGTCCAACTGGCTATTGGTGGTTCGTACGTTGTTGAACATCAAATTTGTCAATTTAATGACATTACTTTTATCATTGGATTTTGATTTTTCGTAAAAAATGCAGGATTGCAAATTGATTTTCACTCGATTAATAAATGTGTATTTTGACAAATAAGAAATTAACCTTGGATATCCTCAAATGGATCCCTGACGTTATTCTAAATAAACCAAAAAATTATTATTGTAAAAATGTCGTCTTCTTATCGAATTAAAATTTTCCTCACATTGTGTTTTTACATCTTTCGTTTCTTCTGCATTGAATTTGATGACTACCCTGGTACCGAACAAAAAGAGCTACACGACCGTGATTGTACACAAGTACGAATTACATAAATGCACCCATCGTCGCGGCTCTCGAGTGTACGTGATGGTAACACCAGTGCATATACATCGGCTTGTCCCACCTCCATTACCACATGGCATGGGGTCTAATCGTCTAATAATCGAAGCGAAGGTAATTACACCAGCGATGATACCCGAGTCCAGCACGGTCCCACGTCCGGCGCGCCTCGATCATTAAACGACGGTTTAATGATAATGACAATCGGCCCGCTCCGTGTTGTCCACTCGTTTTTTCCTCTTTGACCATTTTTTTTATTCACTGTTTTTTAGATTTTTATTTTTCCACTGGACAGCCGCCGTCGTTCCATCCAGCCATGCATCAGCGACACGTAATATCTTTTTTCTCTTTTGTATATTGCACCATGGTCTGCAGTCAAGTGTTTATGGGGGGATTATTTAGTGTAATAGAGACATGATGGCTTTTCGATCAATACATAAATTCTATCCGGTGTGTGGGACCTATGTAGATTTATATTTTTATTCGCCATTTGGCTGGCTGGCTGGCTGGCTGGCTGGCTGGGTAGGTAGGTAGGTATATATAGAATACAATACAGAATATAACCCTTTTGTCTAAGCTCGATTTCCATCTATAGACTCGCGTCGGTGGGTTTTATGGGGAAATCGAGTAAACTTACATCGATGAGCATTAATACTCATAATTTTCTTTATTTTTGTCGGAAAACGCCAAGTCTAAAAATATCAACTGTACTCTTAGAGTAAAATGAGTCAATTCTAATCATCAAGTTAAAAAATTGAGTTTTGCATTGATTCGATCATATCTGGGTATTTAGGAAATAATCGATGAAGCCAAGTACCGTCTGCAGATGACCTTCTCTCATCAATCGCACTTGAAATTAGGTCCTCCCCTCAAGCGACCACCGTCCTTGACGTATGTACTTCCCAGCGACACTGATGTAAAAAATAACCCAGTCATCCTGCAAACACATGGGAGTAGAGCAGCCCCTCAGCTTCTCATAGCTCCCGGCGTAATGTTCTCGTTGGTTTGTAACTCTCGATGCATTTAAATAATTAAAGTACACTCTCCGATGATCAGTGGTGTCCAGTCCACGGGTATTAATGGGATAATCGAGGCATCAGCCAGAGGCAAAACGCGACAACAGGGACAGTCTGAGGTTTGGGTGGCTGCGGCTCCAGAAGGGCGTGCGGAGGGGGTGCGGCGATAATGATTTTATAGTTAACTCAAACAGCCAAGGCAGAGGAGGCGAGGGAGGTAGAGAGGGAGAGAGAGAGAGAGAGAGAGAGAGAGAGAGAGAGAGAGTGGTGAGACAATTGGTCCGATAATACGGCCCTTCCTGCCTGGCACTCGGTGATACCGACGGCAAATCAAGTGACTCTCGGGTATAAAACGACTAAACTCTATGGGTTAAGAGACAGGGATAAATATCCCCCCAGCTAATGACCCAGACTTTCTGCCCCTGATTTGCTTCGTGGGTGTCATCGGCACACCCAACAACATATTGTCCAATAAAATAAGAAAAAAAATCATTTTACATGATTCATTTCTTCTTTCATGAAATGTAATTGATATGTGAGACAATGGGAAATGAATTTAATGTGATGAAGACATTCAATGGAAAACTCCAAGTTCACGTTATTTAAACATCCATATGTTAGTGTACTTTATTGGAGAATCGATTACCCATACAGGGACATTGAGAAACGAGTGAAGAAAAAAACATTCAGCTTTTTTGAATTTCAGTTATCTTAAGGTGGCTCGTAAATAAACCACTTCAGGGTGGGTATTAGACACGTTACACGAGGTTTTTCGAGTCATTTCATATCCCTCCAAATTGCGTGATGCCATACCAAACCAAAATAGTCCCCTGAAATAACGTTCGATAATTAATTAATACAATTTATCGTTACTCAGGGACATTATATCCCCGAATGGTAGTGATAAAAAAGGAATCTCGATCGTGTCTCCGGGACACAATAAGATAAAAGCCCATTCTGAGGAATATTCAATGAGACCTTAATAATTAGATAGTAAAACACGAATCAATTATAATGCTAAATAATTCAACCACTGATCAATTACACAATCAGTAAAATGATGAAAAAATAAAAAAACAAACTCCAATAGTAAATAAATTAGATAGAATAATCTCTCGACATGGCATCTAATTTTATTTCCATTTATCCCACTCTCTCCTTAATTGATGAACTACAAACATATCCGTACATCTGTACAGACAAACATATACAGTATTCGACAGGGCGGTCGATGAAATTTACGCCCGACCGAAAAAAAAGTATCATCTCACTCGACTCCTTTTTTTTTCATCGAACTGGTTTCAATCTCCCAATGATTCTCCATACACACGTACAGAAGTGAGACGAGAGCCAAAAAGAGAAAAACAAGCAAAAGTATGGGAGTGAGGCATCCGAGGCATCGACGAGATAACGAAATTAGTCCCGCACTAATTTATTTCCTAATTCTCGTGCGAGCGGAGGTGTGAAACAGCCATTCTGTACGGGGCATCAAGCGATAACGGAGCGCGTTTTATACCTGAGTGTGTGTTTAACGTAATGTAGACGAAAAGAAGAGGTTCCAAACACAAGTATGGAAAGCGACTGAGGCATAGAGTAAACGGGAGAAAGGGAGATATCGAGTGGAAGGATAAACTGAGGGAAATGTGGTCGAACGAGAGATTCACCAAGTGAGATGGAGAATTGCGAAGCGAGAAACCAAGTCAGAGACAGAGAGAGAGCGAGAGAGAGAGAGAGAGAGAGAGAGAGAGAGAGAGAGAGAGATATAAAACCAAAAAGCCAACAGAAATGAGAATAAAATAAAAGGAGAAAAGACGAAGATAATGCGAAGGGGGCCAGGAATTCACGCCTACGCTGTCGTGTTTCTCTTTTCACTCTTGTGTTGAAAGAGGGAGAGGGGACTAGGAGCCATGCATACCTCCTCCCCGAAACTGTTTTGAGAATAGTTATGTATGTCGGAATCGGTGGATTGGTCGTTTCATTCTCTCTCTCTCTCTCTCTCTCTCTCTCTCTTTCTCTCTCTGATACCTTATAGTGTTCACGGTCAATCTCCAGGATCAGGATATTCCACGGTTTGCCTACACCAACACGTTTTGCGCTAACAGTTGTGTACTGCTATAAGATAAGGAGTTGGATCGTTGACCAGTATCAAAGTTAAAGTACTCGCTGCAATCTTCAGAACTCGGCACTACCTATCGGTATTAATTTTTTTTTGTCCATTTCAAAACGTCTCTATTCACTGGTCTGATTCTCATTTCACTTCGTTGATTATTTTTTCTTGTTTTAAAGTTATACGAATACGTTGAGCGCGGCAAGAAGAATCAATTTGAAATGATGGAAAAAGTATCATATGAGTTCTACCATTTTTTCTCTTCGGATTGTTCATGTTTGTATATAAAAAAGTGTTCATTTCTCTTAAAAATCGATTGTTACTTTTCACATATCAATCATTTATTATAAATAATACCCGATTGTCGATTGAGCAAAAGTTGAACTTGAATATTTCTAGAATTTATTTCACATCTTACATTCGAAAATTTTTCACTAAAATTTCAAGAAATTTCAAACTTGCAATTGTACAGTGTAATTTTTTAAATCGAGGTGTATTCAAACTAGTTTAAAGTTACTCGTTATCATTTCAACGATTCTGTTCAATAAAAGCTGTAGACTCACAATCTACTGATGATCCTCATGACTCCCTCGATTATTTTTTTCCGTTGCTTTAATGTCAAAGTCATGTATGCAATTGCTTACAATTTTTTTGTAATTTTTCTTATCAACACGGACGTTTAAATTTTACAATCTTTTTACGACACGAGTATTTCCCCCCCTCGCCGATGCCATCGGATGGTCATTGCAATTAACGAACGCCTTGGAAATACGTGTATAAAGGCACTTGGTCGAGGTAAGGTGAGAAACTGAGATATGCCAAATCGACACGAAAACTCAATCGTAAATTCTCGAGGTACAAATTTTCATGTGTCAGGGGATATCTCGACAACAGGGGTAATCAAACTGCGAGGAATTCTCATTTAACAGCGCCACTCTGGTTGAATTAATTCCGTCCGAGTGTTGAAAAAAACAAAACATATATATGTATATTGCACCCTGACGTTAAAAAAAGAAATTTGCCAAGACAAATATTTCTCTCTGGAATTGCTGAAAGTGTAATTATGCTAATTATTCAAACTCTGGTGAATGAAATTCAAGTGATGTGTTAAGTGAGAGCCACTGGCTCATTGGGAACGGCAGGTAATCAGGATCTCGTACGTGGTCACACATTTAAAGAAAAGCATACAGTACACTACTATCTCAATCCATACGCAAATGTCTCCCTCCCCCGATCCGGAACTCCGTTTTGAAAACGACGACAAGATCGAGTCGTGTAAACCTTTCGTACTACTCTCATCCATACAACAACGATGGCCCAAACACTGACGAGGCAAGTTATATTAGTGCGCGATGTGTATGTGTGTTCTGGGGACGGGGCGCGGTGGCGGTGATGGACAAGCAAATCAGAACCACTCAAAGAAATAACCAGTGCTCATTAAGAGTAATAATCCACGGCTATTCCCCCACTGTTCTCCTTAACATCCTTTTTTTCCATCCCCTCCCAGCCAATGGCTCGTCTAATTTTTATCGAGAGGCCCCGGCTACGATTGTTTCAAGGGTGTCGCACGACAAATCGACTGGACAACCCATCAGCTGCGCGTTTTATTGCGCCTCTCTCGTCTCGCTAATCTAGTTTATTATATTTTGCTCTGTCCTTCGAGTGATGCAGCCGTATTCCCACGATTGAGATCACGATTGATTTATGAAAAAAGTCAAGTAAAAATTCCAAGAAAATACGATAAAATTGGTAATTTTCAAAAAAATTCTTGTTTCAATGAATCAATGAAAAAAATTACTTTCATCTCAAACTCTGAGACATTTCGTTTCACAACTCAAATACAGCTGCAAAGTTTTTTAATTTTTTTTTTTTTTTTTTCAAGGTAAAATATTCATCCTGTTTGATCAAACTATCACAACAATTTGACCTTGTACATTGGAATTATCGAGTACTGATAATTCATGTACACATAATTTCAGATAGACATGTCTTTATACGCTTTCAAAATATGTTATCTTCAACGTCTCATTCCAGAGGGGTCGCATTTCTGAGAATGTAAGAAAAAAAGTTGTTTGAACAGAAAAATTAGAGGATTTGTTGACACAAGAGGCGCGATGGATAAACGCATCCGTGAGAAGAGTGTTGGTCAAACATGAGATTGCCAGCCTTCTCAGAGGTGCTCATTGTTTTTTTCCATATTTAATTTAACGAGAAAAAAATCCCAAGATAATGTAATCTATCAGCCCTCCGGAAGTGAAAATATCATTCAATCAATTCAGATTCCTATAAAAAGTCAACTTGAGAATCCAAGGGCTCAATGAATGCCCCAGCATAATTTGACATTGTCACATGGTCTCTAATCTCCCGATTAATTTCAATGTTGTAAGCGTATTCGTCTCCCATAGGCATTCAGCGTTAAACGACTAATCCAATCATTTTAATTCGAGATTGAGGATGCTGGAGATTCAATCGTGTTAACGAACTTCCTGTCCGAATATCATTCGTACCATTCATTGAAAGATTAAACAATTTCATGACCGACTCCAACTAGAAAATCTCATTCAGAATTAATTGAAACCTGCCACAATTGTTCCTGTTTACCCATCACCAGAGAGATAAACGGAATTTCTTTGGATTTACAACAAGTCCCAAAAACAATTTTACAAATTTTCAATAAAAACATGAATATTTTCATGGAATAATTCAATTGAAATTGATAATTTTCATGATTCTTTATGATAACATTTGACATATAGAGTCGTTTGATGATGCGCCTGGCAATATCCCTAACGAACATTCTCCCCCGACGGCGGATTTGTACGTGTGTCCCAGCTTCATTGATAATTACAGTAGGATCTACCATGTCAATGATCAGGGGTATCATTAACACTTCCTGCCTCATAGCGACTCTTATCTGTGCATCGCCGGCGCCACACAATGCCGCGTATATATCATAAACCCGTCGGGCAAATTTGTATCGAGTGAAATTCATCGACAGGTATAAAAAGTAATGAGCCCCAAAAAATGCCCAAGAATTGCCGAGTCCAAACAGCTCCTATTGTCCACCTTTATGCTCAATATATTTACACCAATACCCCAATTAAATTCTCGGGCTTTTATCTGCCATGTGTCCATGTATAACCAAAAAGGAGACGATAGAAACGCGACGGAAAGAAATTATCTCGTCAATGCACCATGGTGAGCCCTCACGGTCAGGCTAATAACTGCCAATTTACCTGTCCCACGTTTGAAAAAAACAGGTTCCACATAAATTCATCGACTCGATCACTCCTCATCCCCCACTCTACCTCTGACCCAAGTATTTGTACATAGCACTGTAAATGGTATGTATTATGACAGGCAAAGTCGATACAAATCAATTATAAATGAGCATCTGGAACTTGGCATTACATGTAACGGTTTCTCCCCCCCCCCTCTCTCTCTCACACACACTCTCTCTCGCTCTCTCTCGCANGGTTTCCCCCCCCCCCCCTCTCTCTCTCTCACACACACTCTCTCTCGCTCTCTCTCGCACTTATTGCGACTAATGTCGTATCGCATGTCCAATGAGGACAGCCCGATACCTCTATGTACTCATGAGGATGAGTCAGTGGTAGCGCAGGAAAGACTATCATGTGAAGCTCACGTGCTTCGTTCAATGACTTTTTCATGATGATTTCTCACCTGTTTTACATAAATGTGAATGAAGGAGAATTATTTTTAGATATAGTGGGTTATAGAATCATTATTTGAGGTGGGAAATTATGGCTGAAGTGTCGAGCGGAACGACTTAATCAATGATACTTGAATATTTTGATGACCTCATTTTTTTTTTAATGTGAGAAAATTAATACGTGTGCTAGACCAACATTTCGAAAAGTTCTGTTGGAGTTTAATTTAAGTGACTTTTGAATTTTTTTTCAAATTACCGTGTCAAAATTTTCTTGTAAAAATTGGACATTTCAAAGAATTTGTCATTTGAATGGCATTCAATGTCACTCTCCTTTCCAACAGTGTAGATGGTTATAAATTTTTGGCTGAAATTTCAATCCTGTTGAATTTCCATTTGATTTTAAATTGAAAATTCATAAAAATGAAAAATAATAGATTGTTATTTATATGATTACATATTATCGGCAAATTTTCATTTTCACACTAAATGAATGATAAATTATGTTTGCTTCCAGTAGCCACTACAAGCCTGAGTGGAAACATAAATGGTGGACTGATGTCGCTGCAGGTGGAGAATGGCACCCAAGTGCAGGTACCCCGGGCGCTGATGCAGGCCTTCCTCAAGCAGGATCCAAACCAGCCAGGCTTGGAGACTGTCCGATTGCCAACTCCCGGAGCCAGTGACAATGAGCCAATCACCTTGCCACTCTATTGCCGTGAAGTTGAGTCCGAGGTGTGCTTGGTATGCCGTAGATGCGGTAGAGCATATCCTCAGGAGTCGACGCTCCTGGCGCACCAGAGATCGTGTTATCTCGGTAATCAGCAGCGTCGAGGAGCTCTGAGGCTTGTGCAAGCCCGCTACAGCTGCAATCTCTGTGATACTGGTGCATCAACCAGGACCTACGGGACAATGAGCGAATGGCGAAGGCATTCCGAGACTGTTCAGCATCGCGCCCGACTCGAGGCCAATCACCAGAGAACCGGACAATTCGGCAATCAGCAGTACGGGATCATCAGTGATGTTGATGGACAATCCGGTGAGGAGGCCAATCCCCTCACCGATGAAATGGAGGACGTTGTCAATCAGATAACACTGCTTGCTGCAAGGGCTGCAGCTGAGAGTACAACGACAACTGGCCAATCGCCAGCAAGCCAGGACAACAATAATGGACCTGATGCCAAAAGGCAGAAACTAGTACAGGAGGTTGCTGCACTAGCTGGTGCACGTTAAACAGGGTGCTCACCTTGGGACTATTTTTCATTTTTTTAATTTTGTATTTAAACAGTTACACACAGACGGAGACTACATTATCGACGGGAGATGAAGACCGAGTATTACCGAATGATCATTATAAATTATTATTATTATTATTATTATTATTATTATTATTATTACTATTATTATTCATTGAATTGATTATGAAAAATGAAAAAATTAAGTGTGCGGGATATAAGAGACACGAGTGATTTCGTAATGCAGGCTGCCAAAAACGGAAAATTTTGTAATAGAAAAAGACAAAAAAAAACAAAACAAATTGAACGCACTTGTAATAATCGGTTCAATTTAGAGAAAAAAAAGAATTGGTGATTGTTCTCCGTTTTGCCTGTTATTTTTGTAGCCAAGACGCGTCTCGTTGCTCGCGCGCACTCAACGAAGTTCCTCTAATTAAAAAAAAAAAGAAAAATTAACGATAGACCACAGGATTCACGACGAATTTAATGATAATTCGATTTGACTGATGACGGATATTACGGGGGACATTTTATATCCGATCGAGTCGGATATTTAAGAGAAATAATAATAAACCGTAGACGTTATGGGATTTTTGGAATTTATGAATTAATTTCGGAAGAATTCGTCAATACGACTGACTTGAAATGACGTCGTCAAGGTGGTCTGACAAAACGTTCCTATGTAAAGTAAAATAATAAATGAAGCAAAAAAAACAAAATGAAAAAAAAAGTTACTAAGAATTAATGTCGCGCGTGCGAGGGCGCAAGAAATCTTTTTAGGTAGTGGATACTGGCTGGATAATCCCGCCAATATACTACGAGTACGTACGTATCACACACTCTCTCTCTCTCTCTCTCTCTCCTCTCTCTCTTCATCTCTCACCCTCTCTCTGCCTCACTGATTATGATTTTTTCACAATTTTGAGTGATGTAAATTATCATGGTATTTGATAAAGCGCGCAATCCACAATGCTTTGTTATTTGTATAATTTATCACGTCGTAATCCCAGCACTGAGTGATACAATGCACGTATTACACACGCAAATGATAAATAAAGTATTATATGACTAATGCCCATTGGATAAATCGGGTTTAATATGATAATTTATTAAATGGGAACGAGCTATTACGACAGTTAAGCCCTAATGATCCCTTTGATTTGCGACGCAATGAACAATATGATAAAAATTACAGGAGAGAATGAATGAGAATAGAAAGAAACAAGTGGCAAAAAAGTGAAAAAAAAAAAACAATTAATATCGAAATCGATGCGACCACCGAGACTGCACGGACGGTGTGCCCGTAATCGACTACGAAATTTTGAAAAAAAAAACCCAGCAACATGGTTCCTATATTTAATAAAGTATATTTAATAACGGTAAAGGGAAAAGATTAATAATAAAATAGTAAGAGTAATAACGATAAACAATAATAAACAATATTTATAGTTGTTAATAGTAACGGTTCCGATGACCGATAATTTATCGATAATTACGGATGCGAATGATTTCAAAAGAGAAGAAAGTGAAGAATTGACAAACTGGGGTTTGGGGTAAACGTGAGGAAAGAAAATGAGAATATGAGTTTTTGTGTTATTGAAGAAAGTTGTTGATTGGGCGGAATGTGATGAGTGAATGCTGTGAGAGTCACTGGATAAGAGAAACCTCCGATTTGAGTGGACGACTGGGCGCACACGATACGCGAGCCTGATTCTCCTACGATCAACTCTTGGAAAATTGCACTGAATACAAAAAGGGTTTAACGTGAAATTCACGGGTGAAAGAGAAGCGAGAGTATAAAGAGGAATAATAGATTTTTGAAAATAACAAATGAAAGGTTAATTGACTTTTAGGTTGCCCGTAAGCCAATACAATGATACTTCCAACTGTAGTTTAGGGGGAAAAATTATTGGAGCGAAATGAAAATAGACGTCGAAACGAACGCATGATGACAGAGGCGGAGTGGGAGAGGGCGGAAATTAATAATCATTTCATAGAAAGACACATAGGTATATGAAGAATATATAAATCTATAAATAAAAGTGATGATGCGGATAAATTAATAAAGATGAATTATATATATTTAAAGTAGATAAATATATATATATATCATGTTGTAACATACTAGAATTCTCGCAGGGCCTGTTCGGGTCGTGGCGCGTTCTTTACACGCGTACGTACGTGGGTTTTGTTTTATTTATTGTCTCTCATTTTTTTATACTGCAGGTGCGTATTTCGTACTTGTAAAAATGAATGTTGCGCAATGTGTCAGAAAAATCTTTAGAATTATTTGTGAGAGAGTCTGTACTAAAAATGGAAAAAACATCAATTTATCGTTGGGTGGAATAATTTGTTTCAGCTAATCGTGGAATCGGAAGATGTACGGAATTATTAAAAAAAATAATAATTGCGAGTCGTTTGAGCTCAGATGGGGGAATTGAAGAGGTCGGAACAAAATTCTAAGGAGAAGTCTTTAAGTGACGCATAATTAATATTTGTAGTCTAAGTAACTTGAGGTTCCTGTGGCAATGATCGCTTTTTTATTGATGTACAGGAGGTGATGACTACTATTACTATTATATTTAAATTATTAATCAATTAATTAATTAATTATAGTTAGGGCGAGAGGTATTGATGGAATATACATTTTAGTGGGCATAATAAGGGGTTGAAAAGTGATCTTTCATCACTCGTGATAACGAACATGACGTTTAATTATTTTGGTTAATTACTTTCTTCATTTTATCGACAAAAAAATTACAGATACATCCGGCAAAATTGTAACATCATCTTCAACACGAGTCTCCTTTACCCCGCCCCTGTGTTATTCACTGGGCGCTAATTTTACCCCGTGTGCATTTTTTCATATCCCTGCAATTCGTGATTCGTTGCGAGGCGTTAACGCGAACCGACAGCCAAAGTTAAAGGGGAGATTGTCCCATAACACAGACACGTAGATGCGCAGCCATTTCGAAGGGTGCTTATTTTCGTTTTTTTGCGCGCAAGGGGAGAAGTGAAAAAAAAATAGGGTGACACGAAAAAAATCAATGGGGTCGTTCGCGCCTTCGCCTCGTTTTCCATGGTAAATAAGATATTCAAGTGCGTAAGGAAAAAATTCTATCGTTGAGCTGCGCTGAAAATATTTCATTCTATTTACAATGGAATTTTCTGGTTAAATATTCTTCAAACACAAATTTGCTGCACTGTTGGAAAAATATTTCAAGTTTCATGGACAGTCGGCTAAGAATTTTCAGGAGAGTGACATTGAATACCATTTGAGATCCCCCTAACAATCATGAAAATTCAAGAATGTATTTACCGGAATTCTCCTAATTTCTACTAATTTTCAGGGATTAATTGAACTGATGAAATTTGCAATTATTGCCAGAAATTTCGGCCGTGTATACTTAAAAAAAAAACTTTAATTAATGAATTTCATTTTAAAGCTCAACAAGAGCTTCAGAATAAAAAATAAAAAATATTCAATTTTTTCTCATGCTCCATTTTGCCGCGATTTCCGACATTGATTCAATAATATTGTCCATTCCGTATTCAATGATAAAAAAACGTACGTACGCATGTAAAAAAATCGGGGGATAGGACGTTGTGGATTTGAGGTCCTCAAGTACTCATTTTAATTCAGTTTTTTGTTTTTTTAATTGAGAGAGGAAGAAAGATTGCGTGATAGAGTAACCAAACCTCGCTACTAGCTGTTCCTAAATCAACAATGAATGAGTGATATACGTGTGCAGAAATTAAACGAGTGATTAAGATACTATATTGTGTTGTATAAGTAAAGAGGTAATTAAAAATTCAAAGTTACTTAGAGGCGCCGCGCGCTGCCACTCCCTCCTGCGATTACCCCTTAAACACCTATTTTCACGCACTGTTATTTGTACTGTTGTAAAGATTATCATAATTTTTTACCCTGTACATTAATTGCATTATCACTAATTGTAACAACTTGATTGTCCAATTATGTTGATGAAGGTCGCGTTAATCTCTCTCACTCCCCTCTTTGTCGCTCTCGCTCTCTCATTCTCCACAAATTTCGTTGTTCCAATGATGAATATTCGACGATTAACTTCATCACTTGGATACCCTTCGTTAACGAATAATAAATAGTTGACTGAATAAATCAAATAGAGAGTTTACATTTTCAAGGTGAAATATTTGATTGAAAGTGACAATTTTTATATAAAGCCACATGTTTTTTTTAGTTATATTCGTCGAATATGTAAAATAGTTATAAATATGCGGAGATCACATGGGGATCCAAACGGAAAATGAGAACAAAGTAAATAAACGTAAATCGTTGCAGCAGAATTACATAAATTCGCAAAAATGAAGAAAGTTGATAGATGAATAAACAAATTAGATTAATAGAGAGACCTCGGCGATACGGGGGATGGAGTGGTGCGGGCGTGTGCGTCCCGTATAGTGACTGATGAGAGAAAGGGAAACAGCCATGACTATAAAAAGAATGACGAAAGGGAAGTAAATGCGATGCAAGTGCGAGACGTAAGGAAGTGTAAGAATTTTTAATTTTTCAATCGTTGAGTTTCAATATGTGTTAACGCGTCTATTTATTAGTGAATCAATTGATTGCTTATTAGTGATTTATTAATTGAATAAACAACACGACTTATTACACCTTCCAGCCTGTGGGAAGGAGGGGCGGCGGGGGGGGGGACACCACACACAACTAGTAATTTATTTTAGTTAATTAAACCATTTCAACAATGCTGAGAATCATTATTGATAAAAGAATTCACTTTTCAAATTATTTGCAATACTTCAAGAGCGAATAACATTCTTAATTGACTATTATTAATTAACTGACTACTAATTGATAATGAGTAGTGAATAATTCTTGTGAGAGATTGCCATGTGTATATCTATTAATGTAATCGCTAAAAGAGAGAAGAAAAAAAGGAAAAATTCGAAAAAAAAAAAACTGGGTTCCCGGGGAGCCTCTGGGGTTCGCCCCGAGGCACGGGGCCCGAACACTGGCTCCCAGTTACCGTGGACGAAGGTACCGTTGGCACTCAAAAATTCAGTCGGTCACGTCTCACCCGTTTGCGCGATTTGTCTATTTAAAAAATGTCGATTATTTGAAGTATCCATTGAAGGACAATTGGCTAATATATTTTTTATCAATATATTTTTCATTACTTCAATACTGTTCTTTAATAAAAATATTAAATAAATCGCTATTGCTATGGTTAGTAGCGAGTGACTTGGGCGTCGTACTGCCAATATCCGGGTGGCTCTTTGCTTCTTTTTGTAAAACAATTGAGCCACCCGGACACCTAATGGATTTGACAATGTAAATGGTGTGAGAGGGTCTTAGGAATTGATTTAAAAGAAATTGGAAATTAAGATGAAAGAGGAAAAAAAATGTTTAAATACGCGAATGAGAATGTGTGTATTATCAACGGGGGAGACGAAGGGGTGAAGTTAAGTGATTGATAGTTAAACATCACAAGTATTAAATAAATGGGAGAGTGACGAGAGTGAGAGCGCCAGCGCAATCGCCAGACTCCGATGAAACGGACTGCTGGAGCGGTGCAATCATGTTCCTATTAGGTTTCATATCTAAGCAAGTAATTAATTATACTACTAATTATAATGATAATGATGAATGATACGATGATATTATATATTATTGGATATATATATTAAATATATATATATATATATAATGATATGACTAGCTGTAGTCTGTAACACTGCAACGTACTGTTTTTCCCCTTTATACACGACAAAAAAAAACGAGAGATAACACGCAGCAGACACAGATTAGTATTTGAAGGCAAAGAAAAAAAAAGGTTTTA